GGGCGGGGGGGTTTCAGGTTTCAGCCTGGCTTGGGTGACAGCCCCTCTGCCGACCCCCTGTATGCTGGTGTCCCCCACAGAGACGTGGTGCTGCTCTCCTGGTAATCCACAGGGACCTAGATGTCCTGATTTGAGTCCCCTGTGTGCCACAAGGATCCAGGCACCCTTACTGTAGGCCCCCCACAGCCCCGCAGACACCCAGCTGTGTTGGTTTAAGTCCCTCGTATCCCACAGACCCTCCCAAACACCTCGCAGAAGCTCAGAGGGGTCCAGGTCTGGGTGCCCCACAGGGATCCAGGTGTCCCAGGACGGGCGGGCCCCCTCCACAAGGACCCAAATATCCCGGTCTGGTCTCCTCACGCCCCGGGGGGGGTCCCAGTGCGTGCCCGCCACCTCACAAGGGTCCCACGGTCCCAGTACAGGCCCCTCAGTGTCCCACAGGGACCCAGATGTCCTGCCTTGAGCCTCTAACAACCCAGAGAAACACAGATGTCCTGACCTGGTCCCCTCAAACCTCAGGGAGGTGTCCCAGACTGACTCCTCCGCCAGCAGGGACGCCGAGAGTCCTGGTACGGGCTCCGCAATACCGCAGAGGGACCCAAACGTCCTGGTCAGGTCCCCTCAGGGATCCAACACCGCAGAGGGACCCGGGTGTCCCGGTACGGGCCCACCCCCACCTCACAGGGGTCCGGGGAGTCCCGGTTGGGCCCCCCCAATGCACCACACAGGTCCAGACATCCCGGCCCGAGCCCACCAGTCTCCCACAGAGCTCCTCAGGCTCCCCCCAGGCTCGAGGCCCCGGATCCCCCTCGGTCGCTGGGTCCCCTCAGCCCCGGCCCCGGGCCCCACTCACCGCCCGGGCCCGACCATCTGACGGCGCGGAGGAGGGAAGTGGATCATCCCATCTGCGCGGGGGGTCAGAACACACCCCCGGCCACCGGAGCGGCTCTTCCGGCCATCACCTCTGGGTTTCATCACGCTGAACTTGATTCCGGTAACATTTTGCCCTTTCGGTGCCGTTCCCGGCCGCGGGGCGCCCTCGGCGGTGGAATCGCCGTTGCGAGTCCGCGGATTCCCCTCTCCCCGGCTTGGTTCGTTCCCAAGAGACCATAGAGCTACAAAGGCGCAGGCCAGAGCGGCTCAGCGGCTCCAGGGCGCCCCCTGTGCTGGAGGCTCCGCGGCGGGCGGGCCCGTGTCCCCCCCTGACCCTGCGGGGACAAGGCGACAGCGCGGGGGACACGCGTGGGGAGTGGGGACACGGGCCACAGGGGACATAAGGGACACAAGGATATGGGACAGCAGGGCCCTGGGGAAATAAGGAAGGGGGCGCACAGGGGCAGATGGACGCAAGGGACAGCGTGACACTGGGATATGGGGACACGGGACGCAAAGGATCCTGCATAAAGGGACATGAAGAGTAGGGGGACCAAGGGACAGTGAGATGGCCGGATATGGGGATATGGATGGACATGGGAGACGCGTGGATATGGGGACACAGGGCACAGGGTGTAGTGGAAGCAGGGAAGTGGAGACTTGGGGACACAGGAATGGAGGGTGGATGGACATGGGGACACAGGAACGGGGAATACTGGAAACAGAGATATGGGAACGCGGCGGATTATGAGGACAGGGGGATAGATGGCTGGATGGACATGAGAGACACAGGGACAGAGGGATACATGGATGGACAGACACGGGGGACACAGGTGATGGGGACATGTGGATTTGGGGCACTGATGGGCCATGCTGCCTTGGGGACACATGGCTTGGTGTGAGCAGCAGCAGGAATGTGGCCGTGGCATGTCACCGTGCGGGGAGCCGGGCACACACTGAGCCAGCCATGTCCGTGCCATGTCTGTGCCATGTCCGTACTGTGTCCGTACCGTGTCTGTGCCGTGTCTGTACCATGTCTGTGCCATGTCTGTACCGTGTCTGTGCCATGTCTGTACCGTGTCTGTGCCGTGTCCATACCGTGTCTGTACAGTGTCTGTCTGTACCGTGTCTGTACCGTGTCTGTGCCGTGTCTGTGCCGTGTCTGTACCGTGTCTGTACCGTGTCTGTACCGTGTCTGTACCGTGTCTGTGCCGTGTCTGTGCCGTGTCTGTACCGTGTCTGTACCGTGTCTGTACCGTGTCCGTACCGTGTCTGTACCGTGTCTGTGCCGTGTCCGTACCGTGTCCGTGCCGTGTCCGTGCCGTGTCTGTACCGTGTCCGTACCGTGTCCGTGCCGTGTCCGTGCCGTGCAGCCCCGGGACCGCCGGCATGTCCGGAGCTGTCCATGGAGCTGCTTTGTCTTGGTCCCGTCCCCGTCCCTCCTGCAGCAGCCCGTGCCAAGGGAACGGGGACAGAGATGGGGACAAGATGGGCAGAGGGCAGCCGTGAGCTGTGGGGAGGGGACAGAGAGCTGCGGCACGATCGGAGCAGAGCAGAGCCGTGCCGAGCCGTGCCGAGCTGTGCCGTGCCGAGCTGTGCCATCCCGTGCCCCCCGTGCCCCCCGTGTGCAGCTCCGCTGCTCCCCAGCCCGGCTCCCGTTGGCGGCCCCGCCGTGCGTCAGCGCTGTCCCCACGGCGGGGGCGGCGGCGGGGGGCACAGAGGGACCCTTGTTGTGTGTCACAACCTCAATGTGGCCCTTGTTCTACACCCGGGTGTCCCCGGGAACGTTTGCTCCAGGGCCAGGCTGTCCCCAGCAGGAGCGAGGGGACAAGCCGGGGGACACATCAGCCGCGCGTGTCACCCTCCCTGCCTTGGAACCCCCGGATCCGTCCCCAGCTCCTGGAATCGGGACCCCAAACGCCATCACCCCCCCGCCAGAGCTGGCCCTGCCAATGGCCACGTCCCCAGGAACACGAGCGGGGGACACGGTCACGCTTCCCAGTTATTTTGGGGAGGATAAATCAGGCAGGCGACAGGTGCGGGGCCGCTGCAGCCGCCGCCGCGGGGGTGAGTGACGGTTCAAGGACAGCGGCGTGGGCAACGTGAGGCTCCGGCGTCCCGGCTGCCCCCGGCTCCGGCTGTCCCCAGCTCTGGAGCCCCGGCTGTCCCCAGCTCTGGAGCCCCGGCTGTCCCTGGCTTTGGCATCCCGGCTGTCGCTGGCTCCGGTGCCCCAGCTGTCCCCAGATCCACCGGCCCGGCTGTCCACAGCTCTGGCATCCCGGCTGTGGAGCTCCAGCTGTCCCCGGCTCCATCGCCCCGGCTGTCCCAGCTCCAGTGAACTGTTTTTTCCTCAGCTCCAGAGTCCTGTTTTTATCAAGCCCAAGTGTCGCAGCTGCCCCCAGCTCCGACACCAACCCTGTCTGAGCCCCGGCTGTCACCAGCTTCGGTCCCCAGCTCCGGCTGTCCCAGCTCCAGTGTCCTGCTTGTTCCCAGCTCCAGCCCTCCGGCTCTCCCCTTTCCGGAGTTCTGGCTGCCCCCAGCTCCAACATCCCCACTCTCCCCAGCTCCAGCATCCCGTTTTTCCCGGTCTCCAGCGTCCCAGCTGTCCCCAGCCCCGTTACTCTGTCCCCCAATCCCCGAATATTAACTACAGGGGAACACGAGGGACAAAGGTCCCACCCAGCAGCTCTCACGGTACGTACAAGTTTATATACAGAAAATGGCCAAAAAGACGGAAACCCAGAAAAATATATATAAAGGGGAAGGGGCCGAGGTTGAAGGGGCCGGAGCCGCCTCTCGCCCGCGCCCCCCACTCTGTACAGGACCCGGCTGGCGCTATTTACATCAGGGGCATTTTTACAGGGGAAGGGGGCACCGCACCGGCGATGCCCCCGGGGAAGATGGCACCGGGGCCGCTGCGTGGCTGCGCCCTGGGCCGTGAAGGCACACGGGGCACCCCAAGGGTGCCCTCAAGAAGACTCAGGCATCTGAGGGGGGACCCAGATTTCCAGAGGGGATCCCAGGCATCCCTGGAGTGATGCAGAGGTGGTCCCAGGCATCCCAGGAGCAATGGAGGGGTGCCCAGGGGGTCCCAGGCATCCTGTGGGTGACCCGGGTGGGTGGGGTGGTCCAAGCTATCAGGGGTGATCCCGAGGTGCCTAGCAGGGACCCTGGAGTTTTGGGGATGACCCAGGGAGGCAGGTCCCAGGCATTCTGGGGGTGATTCAAGAGAGGGTTCCAGGTGTTCTGGGGGTGATCCAGGGGTGTACGTAGAGTCTTGGGGATGGCCCGGGGGGGGGTTCCAGGTGTCCCAGAGGTCGTTCAGGAGTCCACAGGGAGGTCCTGGGCATCCCAGGAGTGATCCAGGAGTGACCAGGGCAGGTTCCAGGCATCCTGGGAGCGATCCAGGGATGCCCAGGTGGTTTCTGGGCATTCTGAGGGTCACCCTGGGGAGGTGCCAAACATCCCAGGGTTGATGTAGGGGTACCCAGGGGATGTTCCAGGCATCCCAGGGGTGACCCAGGGGTGCCCAGAGGGTTCCCAGGCATCCTCGGACTGAACCAGGGTTGCCCTGGGCGGGTCCCAGATGTCCCCAGGCGGGTCAGGAGCTCATGGCAGCCCCTTGCCTGGGACTCAGAAAGGCAGAGTGTCCATGAAGATCTTGTCGACGATGGGCGGTGGTGGCACAAGGTCCTCCAGCTTGAGGTAGAAAATGCGCTGGAGGCCCTGGGTGCAGAGGCTGCGCAGCTCCGGCAGCTTCCCCAGCAGCTTGGAGAGGCAGCTGGAGCGGCCGGGCTCGGCCCCTGCTGCTGCCACGTGGTCCTTGAGGCAGCCCACGATGCGGTTCTGCAGCTCCTCCACCCGCTTCGGCTCCTTCAGCCCGTGCCGGTCTGGGGTTACACGCAGGGTGTGGGACGGCGGTGACAGACGCAGGGTGGGGATGGGGACAGCAACGGGCCTGGAGCTGGGGGGTCTCACCTGTGATGATGACGAGGGCAGCGAGGCAGGAGAAGGAGGGGACATCGACGCTCATGCGGTGAAGGCTCTGGGAGAACTCGAGGATGGCATCAATCCACTCTCCGAAGCCACGCACACACTGCTGCCGGTGCAGCACCACCCCGTTGCAGAAGATGAGTTTCCCTTCCTCTGGCTTGGAGCTGCCGGCAGAAATCCGGGTGTCACTCCCAGCACATCTCAGACTCCCCCTGCTCCGCGCTGCCCCAGGGCTCACCGGTACGCCAGGCGCAGGATGAAGAGCTCCAGGAAGGCTGACTCCAGCAGGAGGTCCTGGTCCTCCTTGGGCAGCTCGGTGAATCCCTGGATCTTCTCAGCCCACTTGCGGATGATGTCCATGGAGCCGGTGAGCAGGTCATAGAACTGCTGCACGTCCACTGAGTCCTCCTTCTCAAACGGGCACGGTGCTGACTCCTGGAACTGGGATAAGGATGGGTCAGGATTGGGATGGGCATGAGTGAAGAACTGGGATGGGGATGGGTCAGGAACTGGGACAAGGGTGGATCAGGAATTAGGATGGGATCAGGATCTGGGATGAAGATGGGTGTGGAACTGGGATGGGATCAGGATCTGGGATGGGGACAGGATCCGGATCCGGGATGGGGATGGGCAAGGAACTGGGATGGGGATGGGTCAGGAACAGGGACAGGGGTGGATCAGGAACTGGGATGGGGACAGGATCAGGATCCAGGATGGGTGAGGAATTGGGATGGGGATGGGTCAGGATCCAGCCCCAGCCCTGGCATGGCCCTGGGCAGGGCATGGAGTGGCACCAGCCCTACCTTGGAGTAGTCGAGCTTGGTGGCACTGGGGATGGAGTCGATGTGTGCCCTCACCAGCGAGGTGATGAGGCTGACCGGGGACGCATCTGGTGGCTGTTTGGGCTTGGAGGGGAGACGGCCCCGCCGCCCCTTCAGGCTGTCAGTCCGGACCACTGTGGTTGGGACTTGCAATGAGTGTCTGTCCTCAGGGCAGCCAGAAAGGCTGCGGAGTGGGGACTCCCCACTCCTGCCGGGTACCCCCCACCCGGGCTGGGACCCCGGTACCTTCTTTGACCATTCCGACGGCCAGGCACTTCTGGAAGCGGCAGAACTGGCAGCGGTTCCTGCGCCGCTTGTCCACAGGGCAATCCTTGTTGGCCAGGCAGATGTACTTGGCATTCTTCTGCACTGTGCGCTGCGGGTGGGGAAGGAGCGGCCGAGCTCAGCCCGGGGCGCCGAGCTCCAAACAAAAGCCCTTCTGTCCTCCCCTGCCTCCCGCTCCAGCCCAGCATCCGGCTCCGTGTCCGTGGGGAGGGCTCCGTGGCCGTGCTCCCTGCCCTGCCCCTCCCCGGGCACCCCGCAGCATCCTCCTGCCGCCGCAGAGCGTTGTGGGAACATCCCACAGGTGATGAGATGGGCTCCCCTTACCTTGAAGAAGCCCTTGCAGCCCTCGCAGGTGCGCACGCCGTAGTGCTGGCAGGACGCGTTGTCCCCGCAGACGGCGCAGCGGCCCTCACCTGCCCCGGGGCTGCGCACCTTGGTGGGCGCCAGCGCTGGCCCCTCCAGCAGCGGTGAGCTGGGGGCCAGGGGCAGCCCCGCAAAACCCCTGGGAGGACCTTGGGGAAAGGCGTCCGTGTCCAGCAGCCGCGGGTCCACACGGGGAGAGGGGCCCGGCTGCCCCTTCAGGGTGGCAGGAGATCCCCCAGGGCTGGGGGCCGGGGGGCCGAAGGCGAAGAAGGGGGGCTGTGACCCCCCGCCCTTGGCTGGCTCAGCCCAGGACTGCCCACCCTCGTAGCTTGGCAGCGGTGAGTACGCCCCGAAGGAGCCCTCCCAGCCCGGGGCCTGTGGGGGCTGGAAGCCCGGCGTGGCGGGCGAGGGGATGGAGCAGGGGCTCCCGTAGCAGTCCGAGCCACTGGAGGAGAGGGTCTCGTCCGGCTGCCCACCGAAGGCGCTGGGATAGCAGCCGTACACCTGGAAGTCCTCCAGCTTGAAGGCGGTGGCGGCGCTGGACTGGCCGCTGGCTGGCAGCTGGTAGAGGAAGGCGTCAAACTCGCCGGCGTAGCCCTCCATGAAGGTGCTGAAGCTGGGCAGGGCGGGGGCGGCCGCCAGATCGGCTCCAGCCACTTCCATGGGGAATCGGCCGCCCTCGGGGCAGAGCAGCTCGGCCGGGCAGCGCTCACAGGGGCCGGCGCCCGTGGTGCTGCACTGTGCCTGGATGCAGGGCATCTCTGCGGGGAGAGAGCGGCGTCAGAGGGGACCCCGATGCCGCCCCTCCCTCATCCAGGCCGAGGATGGACACAGGGTTGGAAGCGTGGGAACTTCCCCAGGCTTCCCCTCGTGCTGGAACTGGACCCCCATAGCCACTGGCTGTCTGGTGGCGGCCACCACTGCCCTGGGAAAGGTCACGGCACAGCCAATGGGTGCAAAGGACATTCCCCAAAACGCTGGCTTAGCAAAAGCCCCCGAAAGGGAATGAGGGAGGAATGTGACCAGCAGATTCCCAAGCCCTAGGGCTGGCCAAGGGAAGCCAGAATCGTGGCTGAACTAAGGTTTGAGGATCCCACTTCTCCTGTAACCCCTTTTGGGGCTTTTTGGGAACTTCAGTGCAGGCAGCCCTCCAGGTGAGGGGGAGAGGAGCCCGCCCTCTGTCCCTGGAGCCCCCCGGGGCTGGATCTGGTGGGACATAAGACAGCTAGAGTCCTGTGTCCAGCTGAAAGCCAAGCCAGAAGTGACCCCAATGGCAAGACGATAATGTAATTCATCTCGCAGACCTTTAAAGGTCACACTGCACTGGCCCCCAGCCACGGTCCTGGCACGGCCCTGCTGCCAGAGCCCCTGGATTCCCCCAGCCAAATCTGGGAAGCTCTCTCGGGCACCAAGAAAGCCGACACCCGCCAGGAGCTGCGTTTAAAAATACCCAGCGTGGGTCCAGCTCTGGCACCCACGGGATGGCACCGGCTCCCAGCCTCCTGCTCAGTGTCCCAGTGGAGTTTGTGTGTGTCCAGCCGGGTTCAGAGGGGACAGTGACCCCCCAGCTGTCTCCTGTCCCCAGATGAAGCTGAGGGGACCTGAGGCCGTGCTGGGGACAAGGCCCCGGGGGACACCGTCTGTGCCAGTGGGAATTTTCCTTGCCTACATGAAAATCCTGGCAGATGCAATGCCTCGACCCTTCCCGTGGTCCCGGTTGTTTGAATGTTTTCGCTCTCACCCGCTCTCTGACAGCATCCGGGGTCCCCTCTGCCCTGTCCCCCCCAGGGTCCGGGCACAGATTCCCGCAGCAGCCTCCGCGCTGCCCCCGGCCGGGCTCTATTTGCAGATTCCTGGTTTGGGAGCTCAGGCAGCTGCCTGTGCCCAGCCCCGAGGCTGCTGCCTGCACGGGCGGGTGGCAGCCGCTGGCACCGGGCCCTGGGCCGCGGGCGGGCGAGAGCAGCCGGTGGCACCGGGGGTGGCTAACGCTGCCCACATCCCTGCCGGCACCTGCTGCCCGGTAATGCCGTAGCGGCTGCTGCCAGGCCCGCGTGGGCAGCTCGGGCTTTGCCTGCACGGGGCTGGCTGCCCGCACATCCCCGTCTCCATTGCTACGTCCCGGTGCTGCCTGCACATCCCTGCCCGCAACGCCGGGATCCCGGCGCTGCCCACTGCAGCTCTGTGAGCGCTCTGCCGAGGGATCCCGCGGTGATGCCCGCTATGGGCTGACTGCCCTCCACAATCCCCAGGGACAGGCAATTCCTGCATGTGCAGCTGGCCCCGGTTGGGGTGCCGTGATGGGGGAACCAGCCCGGTCCCCCGTGGCCCAAGTAGCGGCTCCCGGTCCTGCACAGCTCCTCACAGAGGAGTGGCCGGTGTCGGGCTCTTCCCGGGATCCCCGGCGCCGGGACCTTTCGCTCTGCCAGCTCCCGCCGGGTGCGGGACCCCCGGCTCTTCCAGGTGCTACCGGGACTCCTGACCCAGCTCCTCCCGGTGCAACTGGGACTCCCGGTCCCGTGCACGTCCCAGCGCCACGCGGTTCCCCCCGGTGCCACTGGATACCCACAAGGGGCAGCCCCGCACAGCGCACACCGCCCGGTCCCTTCCAGCGGGACCCCCGACTCTCGCTGGGGGCACCGAGGGTTCCTTCCACAGTGTCCTTCGGACACGCGAGCCCCCGCTCCACCGGGACGCGCGACCCGGTTGTCCGTGCTGCTACTGGGACACCCGGTCACATCCACCTTGCGGGACGCCCACCGCCCTGAGCCCCCGGCGCCACCCGGATTCCCGACTCAGATCCCCCCGGTGCCACCTGACACGCCCGATCTGAATCCCTCCGGTGCCGCCCGGCACGATGGTTCCCGTTCCCCCGGTGACACCGGGACACCCGACACCGTGCACCTCCCGGTGCGCGCATCCCGCCCCCGCTGCCGGCACGTCCCCCTGCCCCCGGCGCCCCCCGCCAGGTCCCCGCATCCCGGTGCCGCCCGTACCCGGGTGCCGGCGCGGCGGCGCTCCGGTTCCTGCTCCTGCCACCGCCGCTCCGCGGGCTCCGCCGGGCTCCGGCCCCGCCACTACTTTCTCTTAAGCGCTCGGTGACGCGCGGGGCGGCGCGGGGCCGGTGACGCACGGGGGGGGCGGCCCCGGCGGGGGCGCGGCCGTGACGCACGCGGGGTTCCATTGACGCACCCGCGGCCCCGGCTAAAAATACCCCCGCAGCCCCGGCTAAAAATAGCTCGGGCGCCCCTCGCTTCCCCACATATCCCCCCCCGGGGCTCCGGGGGCCGCCGGCGGGGGGAGGGAGGCCCCGGTGTCAGGGGTATCCCCGGTGTCCCCAGGCCCGGTGTCCCTTTGGTATCCGCGGTGTCTCCTGGCTGCTGGTACCCCGGGGCTGGCGTCCTCCGGTGCCTCCATCCCCGGTGCTCTCTTGCTGCCGCTGTTTCCGGTGTCCCCTCGTTGCTGCTACTCCGGTGCGCCCACCCCCGATGGCATCTTGGTGCTGGCATCACTGAAGTCCCCACCCCCGGCAGCCTCTCGGTGTCGGTATCCCCGGTGTCCCCTCGTTGCCGGTACCCTGGTGCCCCCATTCCCGGTGCCCTCTCCGTGCCAGTGTCTCCGGTACCATTATCCCCGATGTCCCCTCAGTGTTGGCATCCCCGGATCCCCCCTCGGTATCTTCAGTGCCCCCATCCCGGTGTCCCCCCCGATGCCTCTGTCCCCGGTGGTCTCCCGCACCCTCGGTGCCGCTATGCCCGGTGCCCATCCGGCTATCTCCGGTGCTCAGCGGCGCCGGTACCCCCGGTCTCCTCCCGCTCGGTGCCGGGTGCGGGGGGAGTGACGCGGGGTCCCGCCCCCGCCCGGTCCCCGCGGGGAGCCCCTGGCCGGGGCGATGGAAAGAGCGGCGGCTGCTGGCGGGCGCCGGCGCCGGGAACAGCGCCCGCGGGCTGGAAAGATGAGCTCAGCCCGTGCGGACCCGGCCCGGGCCCGCGGGAGGGCGAAGGGTGAGCGGAAGGGACCCAGAACTCCGCAGCAACCTTCGGTGCCACGCCGGCACCCCTCGGTACGGCTCCAGGACCTCCCGCGATACCCTCCAGCAGCTTCCCACAGCTTCCCAGCCGATACCCTCCGGTACTCCCCCGGTACTCCCTTCGTATCCTTTGGTACCGACCCGATACACTTCGGTACCGGTCGGTACTGCCCTTGCCGTACCCGCCGGTATCCACTCCCTGGGACAGACCGGGGCTCTTGGGGGACCGGGCCCGCTGTACCCGGGTTGGCAGCGCCGGTGCTCCCCCGTTAGCGCCCCTGCTGCGGCAGCGACCCCCGGCACGGTCCCACCGGGGACCGGAGCCACCCTGTGCCCCAGTGCCCCGGGAGCCGCATCCAGCGCCGGTACCGGGGTCCTGGCTGGCTTCACGAAACCCCCAGCCCCATGAGGAGCAGCGGGGCCGAGAGCAGCCCGACACCGGAGGGGTCCGGAGGGCGCACAGGGGTGCCGGAGGTGGCGGCCCGGGGCCGGACACCGTCTCCTCCCGTTACCCGGTACCTCGCTCCGGCCCCGCTGTTCGCTGCAGCCCGCCCTCGATGGGGTTCCGTGACGTCACACCTGCCAGCTGACGTCACACCTGCTCACTGACGTCTTGGGGATCCCGCGGCACCACCGGGGCCGCCCCCAAAGGGATCCCCCGGGTCCGGCCGGGTTCCCTGGAACAGCCCGGGGACACGGCCAGGAGCCTTCGGGACAGGACACACAGGGAGCCCCAAGAGCTCCCGGGGGGCTCGAAGCCACCGGGGCACGCAGCGTGGTGGTTGCAGCCCCCCGTTTCCCTCGCTCGGTGGCGGCGTTACCGGAGGCAGGAGGGTGACACCGGCAGCCCCCGCAGCCGGGATTAGCTGTACCCCGGGTGAGGTCGTGGGGACTGCGATGGCTCCGGGGGAGGAAACCCGAGCCCGGCCGCCCCGGCAAGGCCACGGGGGTGCAGGGGGGACCCCTGTTCACACCGTCCCCAGGCGGGCACACGGGGATACGGCGGCCACCAGGCAGCTCTTCCCGAGCCCCGGGGTGGGCGTTGGGACTCGCAGGGTGCCCGTGACCGGGCCGTGATCAGCCGGTGCCCACGGCCGCCTCTGGCTCCCTGCCCCGGGCCTATATTTATCGGTAATGACAGACTGCTCCGGGGCGTTCCCGGCCCGTACCCCGCAGCCTCGGCCCCCCGGCCCTGCCCAGCTCAGCCGGTGCCACGCGTGACCCCGCTGTCCCACGGCCACCTGCCCATTTCCGGGCACACGCAGCCCCAGGTCGGGGCTATAAAAAGCTCAGCGTGGGGTGGCAGCTGCGATGGGGGGTCCCGTGATGGCTTTGACAGGAACGGGGTGCTCCGACCCTGGCAGCACGCGGGAGGATGCCGGGAGCCGCCGGGACCGCGGGAGCCAGACCATAAATGTCCAGCACGGAGCCGTCCTGGAACTGGGACAAGGCAGGAGAGCGTGGGGGAGCCAGCTGAGCCCCCCACCCCCCTCACCATGGCACAGCTGCAGTTCTCACCCCCAGATCTCCAGGCTCCCCCGGGGTTTTTGGGGGAACGGGGGAGAGCTGGGGTCCCCAAACATACAGCAGCCCCCCCAGAGGGGAAACTGAGTCACGGAGCAGAGTGTTGGGGGTCTCGGTGCTCCACGGAGCACCCGTGCCAGGGAATCTTCGTGCGAGGGAATCCCCCTACACGCATCGGTGCTGCGGCAGTCCCCAGCTGCGGTCGGGGGTGTTCTGTGTCCCCCAACTCCTCTGGACGCTGCTTCAGGGGCTCTGGGGACACTGAGGCAAGGCGCGGGGGGGACCCCAGTGCCCGTCCAGCCTGGGCACCCTGTCCCCCGCAGGCGGAAGGGCTCGGGGTGGGACGCGCTTCCCGCCGGCTGCCGGAGGAAACGGGGCAGGAAGGGCTTGGCCGGGGCCCCGCAGCGCCGGGACGTGGCCGACGGCAGCGGGGGCTGCAGCAGGAGCGGGGACACGGGGGGTGCCCTGGAGATCGCTCACGTCCCGGGTGACATCAGCCGGTCACCCCAAAGGGACAGCGTGGGGGCCATGGGGGAGCTGCAGCCGGCGGCCCCCCGGGTCCCCTCGGGGCTCCGTCCCCCCTCAGTCACAGCCACACATCGCTGCAAATCCTCTCTGTATTGGTGGTACAACAGCCCGGGGGGAGCAGGGGTGGCACCCCCGAGGCCCCCCTAAGCTGGGTAATGCGGGGCTCCCCCGGCGCACCCCTCCAGGGAGGAAGGTCCCGCTCCCGAGAGCTCCGTGAGCCGCTCGGGAGGATCCTCACGTCTGTCCCCTGGTGCCGTGTCCGTCGCTCAGTGTCACGATCCCCACGGCCTGGGGGGGCCAAATCGGAGCCCCTGGGGCCAACCCAAACCCCTTTCCTGCAGCCCCCAGGGATGGGGGTCGGGAGAATGAAGCCCCTTGCCATAAATAAATAAATAGTCCTGGGGGGCCGGGGGGCGCCGGCTAGAGGTGACTCTCCTCCTCCTCCAGCGCCCGGTTCAGACCCGGGATGAACTTGAGCAGCCGCTGGCGGAAGCTGCTGTGTCGGCTCTTGCGGGGGGCGGCCGCTCCCTCCCCGGGGTCCCCGGCCCGGGCCCAAAGCCTCCCCGCAGCCCCCGGGCCCCCCGCACACTTGAGGCTGGCGCTGCGGGCCAGGGCAGGTCGGGGGCGCGGCGGGGGGGGCGCGGGACCCCCGCTGTCCTCATCTTTGTCCTTGTCCCCATCCTTGTCCCCATCCAAGGAGCTGGAAGAGGCGAAGACGCAGGTCTGGTACAGGGAATCATCGCTGCCGCTGGCACGGGAGGAGCCCCCCGGCAGTCCCTCCCCCTGCAGGCACCAGCGGACGGACTCCAGCGTGTCGTAGATGCTGGGGTCCTTGGCCACCACACCTGGAGGGAGACACGGGCATGTCAGGGGGGGCCAGCAGGTACCCCAAAACCCTCCCGCCAGCCCCCCGGCCCCCACTCACCCCGCACCAGCCGCTGCTCCTGCACCATCAGCGAACGAAACTCCCCCCACTTCTCGTAGAGGGTTTGCTGTGGGGAGGGTGAGGGGGTGACGACCCCGCTGAGGGGTCCCCAGCCCCCCGTGACCCCAGCCAGCCCCTGCTCACCTTCAGGTACTGCAGCCGGGCCTCCAGCTCGGCCCTCCGGATGGACGTCCCGTAGAGAGTGTCGAGCCTGTGGGTCAGCAGCTGTCAGCAGTGGGGGGCTGCAGCCACCCGGGCCCCCCCTGCGCCCCCCAGCTCACCGGAGTACATTGCCTGAGCTCTTGATGATCTCCACGATCTCCCGGTGCCGGATGCCCTCCACGTTCAGCCCGTTCACCCCGGTGATGGTGTCCCCTAGAGCCCAGGGTGTACACGGGTTCAGGGGTGCTGGTCCCCGCTGCCGGGGTCCCCCTCGGCTCCCCCCGGATGTGCTCACCAGCCTTGAGCCCCGCGGCCTCGGCCGGGCTCCCGTCGTGCACCCGGCACACGAAGGTGAACATCTCCACGCTGTTCCTGTCCTGGTGGTGCAGCCCGTAGGTCTGCAATGGGGGTCTGGTGAGGGGCACAGGGACACACCGACCCCCAGGAGCCCCCCAACAGCGGCCAGGGGGCAGCGATTGCAGTGTTTAATTACTGCTGGTGGGGCAGCAGGGGAGGGGGGTCCTGCCCTGATGGCTGCACCCCAGGGTGCCCCCCCGGCTGCCCCCAGCGGCACAGCCGGGGGAGGTTCAGTAACACGGCATCTCTGTCACCGCTAAAAATAACCCCCAGCTCAGAGACAACTTAAAAATACCCTCGATGCAAAGCAAGGTGCGGGTTGGAAGGGTGGGGAGCAGGGCATGGCATAACCAGGTTCAGCACGGCTCAAAACACACCTGGATCTCGAAGCCGAAAGACTCCTCTGCCTTCTTCTCCAGCATCACCACCCTCCTGCGGGACACAGGGATCAGGGACAGGGCAGAGCCCCAGGCACAGCCAAACCTGCCTGTGCAAAGCTTGGGCTCTTCTCAAAATGCTGCTTTGGGGTCCCCAAGGA